AGTACATTTTGTTAAATATAATCAATTGATACCTCGTTTGGTTACCAAGATAGGATTAACGAGGATAAGATTAAAATAACTAATGAGAGCCCAATTATATTAGTGGACCACCGATGGTCCAATAAATAATCTCCCTAAAAGACAAGATAAAACAATATTTCCAGGTCAACCCGAAAGTTATTGGGTTTACCAAACATCAAACAAGGTTCAATTATTTAATTATTTAGTTAATCATGGTTAATCTCCCCAACCAAACGAGGCCTAAGTATAGTATTCCTTGATATTCCATATGCTTTGATTGTTTGAGATTTATAAAGATTGCCCTTTACTTGAAGTCTTGAATAGGTAAAAGTGTAACTACCTTGCTAATATTTGTCAACAATAACTTTTGCATAATCTAACTGTAACGGTGCTTGTAACAGAGAACTTGCTAGCGACTGGAGATACTATAAAAATTGCTGATTTTGGTCTGGCTCGTGAGATTGACGATCAGCCTCCATTTACTGAATATGTCTCTACACGCTGGTACCGTGCCCCAGAAGTACTCCTTCAGTCCCCAATTTATGGTCCTCCAGTTGGTAAGTAGATCTGAAATCAGCTCTTAGTTCCTTTTTTCCAGGTTTTTTTTTCCAACAGATGTTAATATTTTGTTTTGTTCTTTCAGACATGTGGGCAATGGGTGCAATAATGGCTGAACTATTCACACTCCGTGCTCTATTCCCGGGTTCAAGGTAATAACCATTCACCTGATTGATTACTCTTCTTTAATTGGGTTTTAATGGAAGTTTACTGTGTACTCTGTTTTCAGATTGTTCCTTTTTATGGCAACTTTGAAGTGCTTGATTTATTTATTTATTTTTTACTTTGTGGTGTGCAGTGAGGCGGATGAAATTTACAAGATATGTTGCGTACTTGGCAGCCCAACGAGGTGGGAATGGTCGGAAGGGCTTCAACTTGCTAGTGCTATGAATTACCAGTTCCCTCGACTTCCTGGAGTCAATCTGTCAGTGCTAATGCCAGGTGTCAGTGAAGATGCAGTTGATCTTATTACATCGTTGTGTTCGTGGGACCCGTACAAGAGGCCTACAGCCATGGAGGCACTTCAACATCCTTTCTTCCAGAGTTGCTTCTACGTTCCACCATCTCTGCGTTCGAAAGCTGCTGTCACAAAAACTCCCCCTGGTTATGAAGTTGGAGCTAGGGGGGTTTTGGAACAAAAATGTGATAGGATATACCCTGGGAATTTATCGAACCCAAATCCAATGAATAGGTTTCCTTCTGCCAAATCACTCTTACCGGTGAATTCAGGTATAATATGTTTTTCTTTAAAACTTTTTTTATATGTCTGATAATACTATGGCCACTGCCTGCTAAATCTGCTGGACCTTCACCGTAAAATCTAATAATAAATCTGTTATTTTTTCGGTTACTTTTTTATATTGCACCGGATTTTGACTTATTTCTGTTCTCTATTCAGGTGTGCAAAGAAAGTTGGACATGAATAATCAGGTTGGTTGACTGTTGAAACTGCAGTTTATTTGATATGTTGTAGTTTTGTATATTCGATTGTCTTTCTCTGGGGACAATTGTTCTTAACGCACTCGTTTTTGTTGTGTAGGATCTTACTAAAAATGATAGAAACCAAAACTATGTGAAGCAACAGCAAAAGTATCGTCCACCTGGAATATTGAATGGTCCACGTAAGTAAATAATTGCTTCAAGCTTCTGTATTTGATCTAACTTCAGTTATATACCCAAGACTGTTCGATTTTGGAAGACCATTTTTTTTATTTGCTTTTATACAAAGATTTAATCATTGATTTAATTGATGCGTGAGCAGCTGGTTACGTGGGAAAGGCGCGTGGAGTTTCTGAAGCAGCTGAGAAGTTAGCAAACATGACATTGGCCGCTGATCGGCCGCTGTATGCAAAGGTGCTAGCAACAGTGCAGCCGTCTATGAAGGCTGGAGGAAGGCACGACCAATCGGATTTTTACCTTGGACCACCTCAAGAACAGAGATCTTACATCAGGAAGGTGGTTTGATAGAGACGAAATACCGTAATAATCGATCCAGTTTGACAAAATTAAGGTTTATCTATTTGGGTTTTTGGCGAAATGATCTTATGAGCCTGGCTTATAAATTTATGTTACAATATCGAAGAGCATCGTCCTTTTTCTTTTCTAGTGTGTTCGGTTTCTGTTTGTATTGTTGGATTACTCTATTTCTATGAGTTAATAAAAGTTGTTTGGTTTCTCTTAAACCATTTTAAGAAAATTATCGTATTACATTTGGCAGCAAGAATCTTTTTCGCGTTTTCGGGTTTAGGGTTCGGCTTTTGTTTTCGGTTTTGGTTTCTGGTTTTCGATTTTGGGTTTTGGATTCGTTTTGGGGTTTTTGATTTCGATTTGTGTTTTTAAGTGTGAACGAATGATGATGGAACAAAACTATATCTGTTTACTAATAAGATTGAACAAAAGAAAACATGGTATATATTTGGACTGATTAAAGTAAAGGTAGAACAAATCTGTGAAAATGAAAGCTCTGTTCTTTAAACAAACTGAAACTTCTACAGTTAGAAAGAACAAACATTAAAGGGAATCTTCTTCTTGAAATATGCAGTTTTCCACTGTAATAATTAGATCTGATTCACTAGCAAAGATATTGAGCTTGTATTCTATCCTTATTCGTTTCCCACCAATTCTTCGCGTGCACCTCTCCGAATCTTTCTCGGCTGCAAAAATTAAATAATGTCAATTTTCAGTCCATAAACAAATAAATAAAACGAACGATACATTCGTTTATTATTATCCTTTTGTTTTATTTGACCTGAATCTGACACGACGGAGCTCTCTAGTTCCATCGACAAGTTGTCTGATGGTAATAAAAACACCAGGTTCGTCTTCTTCAATCCACTCCGAATCAATATCACTTGCATTGCTTATCGAAACCGAAGAAGAAGTCGTTGGCCTAGATGCTTCCATGGTTGACATTTCACCGTTCGGATACGCACTTGTTCCCACGTTGTTGTTGTTGTAATAATTGTTGCCTCCGTTATAATAAGGCTTGCTGTTGTTGTTGTACCTTGGAGTACTACTCCACTCTCTGTTCAACGACGGAGTCATTCGAGGGCTTTCGAGTGCCGATCCTAGCCTAGAGTAACTCGAATCCCTCTTCAATAATATCAAAAAAAAAAAAAAAATTGGTATGAATATTAATAATTATCGATTATCTATATAGATCGAAGAATAATAGCACAATCAAGAAAGTCGAAAAGAGACTTACTCCATCCTCAGATCTGCCAGGAGTAGCATTTAGAGCTTGCTGATTGAATTTCTGAACATTATATAGCTCCATTATTCTGTCGAAGTTTTCGCCCCACCATTTTTGAGCTTGCCATTTGTCGAACATATCCCGGCTTTCGAATAAATTACCCATAAAAATCCCCCGATTAGTAATTTATTCATATTTCATCCACCTTCATCAAAATTAAAGAAAAAAAAAACAATTTTTTTTTCGAAATACCTGAAACGGATGCGTTTAAGATCGTTCCCGCCACGCGGGAGGGACAAAAAGGTAAT